GATTCAAATGAGTCGCGCTGTTTCATTCTGCTTTTGGCGCATAAACATTATATCGAACATTTATTGAACTCTTTATATCGTTTTATCGAGGAAAATTAAATCGTGATAATCGAATTATCGCCCAGCCCTAAAATACAGTCTTGATGTTCACATGAGAGCTCATTCTGGAGAGAAACCGTACACTTGTGATCAGTGCGGGAAGAGATTTACACAAGCAGCACACCTTAAGGAGCACATGAACATCCACACTGGAGAGAAACCATACAAGTGTTCACACTGCGACAAGAGATTTAATTGGTCAATAAATCTGAAAATACACAAGATTATCCACACTGAAGAGAAACCATACACGTGATCAATGTGGAAAGAGTTTTTCACACAGTCAGCATATCTTAAAGGACACATGAACATCCACACTGAAGAGAAACTGTATGCATGTCATCAATGCGGGAAAAAACTATTGTCTGTGGTCTCCATACCGTAAGAAGCACCTGAAAGTTCATACAAGGGAGAAGCCGCATTCATGTTATTTGTGTGGAAAGAGTTTTTCACGTCTAGAACATTTGAAAGAACAGAGAGAGAGTACATGTGCTTTGAGTGTGAAAAGACGTTTACCACAGCAAACAGTTTAAAACTGCACCAGATGATTCACACTGGAGAGAAACCGTATCACTGCACTGCATGTGGGAAGTGTTTCAATCAATCATCTTCTCTACACAATCACACAGAAAACAATCACAGTAAGTAGATCATCTTCAGATCAGCCCTTTCAGCTCTGATGCTGCGTCCTCACCAAACGAGACATGATAATACAGCAAGCAATAAAATATAATCTGGATAAATCTGTCCTAACCAGACATTACAAGTGAGATGGAAACATTATCTAAAGTTTCACAGTGAATAAAGTTCTTCATCTTCAAAACCAGCAGATTCAACTGTGAGACTCAGATCAACTCAAAGATGGAGTTCCTCCCCAAAGAACAATTTCAGAGTTTTATTCTTGTGTATCATTTTGCTTTCGTAAGAGTTTCATATTTAGTTAAATTGTCTTATAATGCATATGTATCACCTGTAGTTTGCATACTTTTTCATGAAGGAAAGTAGAAGCTTTTTTACAAACTGTTCTTGTTCAGGAATCTGAAGAAGAGGCTGTAACACTCTTAAGAACTAGTTAAGCGAACTGTATCCTGCAAACGGCTTCTATAAGTGATAATATCAATACATTTGTCTATGATGCATTTTTGTTATTCACAATCCAGAAGCGAAATCTCTCTTGTACTTTAGGGCTGTGCAATTAATCTAGTTTCATTTTCGATTTTGAGTTTGGCTCCCATGGATTATGAAAACAAGATATTTGAGGTGAAGCGATTTATTGGAGAAAATCTGATGTGTCAGTATATTGGATCCACGCATTAGCTCCTAAAGTGACAGCAGCCTAATAAACCCGCAGCTATCTGTGTCATTAACCCTCACTGACTGTTCAAAGACAGGTTACTTTCTGTACCTTCCGGGTCAAATTGACCCGTATTGGATTCAATGTAATTCCACAAAAATTACAATATGAAAAAAAAACAACAACAACACAATCAATTAACGTTTAATATCAATAATTTTCACACATTACAAAAAATAAATATCAGAATTTATGATTTATAAAAATGTTCTTAACCACTACTTTTGACTGCCCCTCCCCCATACCTCTGGGATGTTTGCGATTAAATATTTAACGTTAATATCTTGGTCTAAACCAGGGGTTCTCAACCCTGCTCCTCGAAGGCCACTGTCCTGCAAATGTTAGCTCCAACCCTAATCAAACACACCTGAACCAGCTAATTAAGCGGTTCAGGATTATTAGTAAGCTACAGGCAGGTGAGTTTGATCAAGGTTGGAGCAAAACTCTGCAGGACAGTGGCACTCCAGGACCAGGGTTGAGAACCCCTGGTCTAAACCTACAGTAAAACTGACAAACTATATATCATTTGAAAGGTTTCAGACTCTAGTTTTTAAAACTGGTTAGGCTTAAACATCTCGAAGCACTACCTAAACAAGGATATCGGCTCCGACTGTTAGAAGTTATTTAAATAAATGTTATACTCATAAAAAAAGTTATTATTTTAGTTAAACATGGCATATTTGTTCAGTGATAACTACGAAAAAAGATAGGCCGTAAAACCATAAACATAACGGTCTTTTCAAATATAACTGTACGAAGTTCTGGTTCAAGCTCCGCCTACTTCCGGTTTTATACAGAAACGAGTAATTTTGTGATTGTTACAGATACAAATACAGATCGCTGCACACCCCTAGCTAATAATATTCTTAGATCTATTGTGTAATTGTGAAAATAAAATGTTTCTGCAAACAAAAATAGAGTATTCTGTTTAATTTATACAAGAGTATTTTGCCTTTATTTTTTGTAGTTTAACAGGTAAGGTGAGAGAAAGCAAGATTCACACCTGTCCCTGTGAGTCAACAGCTTTAATATAATCTGCAAACATCAAACTATTATTTTGGCCAACAAATGTTGTCATTTAAATAAATAAAGGAAGACATGTTTTGACTCAAAACCTTATTGTCACTGACTTATGTGACAACTTCCTCATGTGACATCTACCCCCAACATTATGGAGAAAAAAAAAGAGTAAGGATACACTTCAATATAAATGTAAACAAACAAATAAACAGCTCAATTATTACTATTATTATATAAATTAAAAGCTCAATTATTCAGTCAGGCGTTCATGGCATGTTCTGCAGAGTATTCTCGAAATCTGACATTAACAAAACATCAAATAGAAACCAGTTATTAATTTTAAGTTGATGTCTTTAAACATATTGACTTCTGGTTGGAAAATGTTTAATGTCAAGTAAGATATAACCACACAATATTGTGAGAGTAGAGAATTCTTCCTGTACTGTTCAGATATGTGAATCTTGAGCAACAGGTGACGTCAGCATGTCTCTGGATGGAAAAATACCAACACATGCGCACAACCACATCTCTGAGGTACTTTTTTTCTTTTCTTGTAACTTCCTGTAGATTTTGTAGTGTATACAGCTAACAACCAAGAAATAGTCCAGTGAGAAAAGTTGGGTAAGTTTTTACATTTTTCAATAGATCCTGCATATTTTGTCTACTCCTTTGTCTACTCTATAGAAAACCAACCAAACACATACTTATTTTTTCTTTCTTTGAGCAGTGTATAGTTTCTACTTTAGGGTGCTCTTCCTGATCTAACCCTTAAACATGTAAACGTTGTTGGTGTAATGGAGTCAGGTTGAGTTAGTCATACTAAATACTATTTTTGTCTTGAATACAAAGAGTTACTTAATTAACGGATTTAATATTAACATAAAACACATTTTAGGATACCCGACAACACATTCTTTGTTTTTGTTTCTGCTTTTTTCATGTATTCTTCTATAAAAACCTAATTCATTCAGAAATACTGACATAGTATGGAGCTTCTGGAAAAGTAAATGTTAGGCAACTTGTAATTAAAAAAGAGAAAGAGAAAGAGAAAACAGTGCTCACATTGTTCCTTGTGGCCAGTCCGTCCGGCAGAACCGGTTTTGAATGATCTTTGCTGAAAGAGAAGAGTTGGATATTTAAGTACTCGAGCAGTGGTAGTTTCCATTGTACTTTCCCAATGAAAAAGAAATATAAACTAAATACTGATACACTGACTCCAGTGCAACTGCAGAATACGATATCAAAGTGACGTATGTAAAAGAAGCGTAGAGTATGTGTGTTATTGTTATTATTTGTTGTTGTTTTCATTTTTTCATTGTATTCTGTTATTGCAGGACTGTGTCCAGGCCACTGTGCCTCATCCACTGTCCACATTCTCCACTTCTCTGCCAGGTTTGTTTCAAATGATTTACACTCCTATGCAACTCTAAGCATTTAGTTATGTTCATTAGAATTATGTCATTTTTGAATAGTTGCTATAGAAACCATATTGCATATGCATTTGAAAGTTT